GCCGCCGCCACCGCGCGCGCCCCGACACCGCGCGCGCCCCCGCCTACCCGCACCCGGCGCCGGCCAGCGACAGCGAGGGCGGCAGCGGCCACAGCAAGGCGTCCCTGGCCACGGTCCGCCAGGACCTGGCCATCTAGAGGCGGGCCGCGGGTGCTTCCCGGAGAACTGTCCCCGGGACCCTGCCCTGCAGCGTCCGCAGCACTTCCCGAGTGCGCTCGGTTGCGTGGGGGCCCCGTAGATTGAACTGTGGCAGGTCCTTGTTGCCCTGATCCAGGTGGCAGGGGGGAGGCCTGGGGCTGAGAGAACGTGCACAGGAGGAGGGCACCGCAGAGCCGGAAGGGGAGGTGCAGGTGGTGCCCAGAAAAAGTATTTGTGATACCAGCCTCCCGAGGGCCTCTCCTTGTTGGGGCTGAGGCCTGGCCTCTGTGTGAGCTCCCTGTTTGTGGCCACACACCGCACATATGTGTGGTATGAGCTGCGTGTGCACATGCACATGTAAAACCTGTGTGAGCTCTTTGCGTGCGTGCACGTGAGCCGTGTGTGTACGTGTGTGTGTACATCCTATGTGGGCTCTCTGTGTGTGCGTGTGTATTCCCTGTAGGTCTGCGTCTGTGCAGGCATCTGCATGCCCTGTGTGAGCCGCGTGTGCATGTGTGTATGAGAGACAGAGAGAGATCTCTGATATGTACCGGGTGGGTGGTCAGGACTCAGTGCCGGCAGCAGCCACACTGGCTCCCTCCCTACCTGCAGGGGCGTTGCAGGAAGGTCCCCCTCTTGACCGAGCCCACAGGGAGAGGAGGCAGGCGCCCCTTCACGCTGGGCAGGCCTCAGTGCGGTAGGGCTTGTGGATACCACCCACACTCAGCCTTGTGGCCTGGGCAGTGGCCAAACCCTCCCTTTGGTGGAGGTAGAGTAGGGGTTGGCCGTAGGGTCAGAGGGCAGGACTCTTTTCTAGATTCACCCCCCCCCCCCGCGGGGGTGCCCCCCCCCCCCCCCCAGTCCATAAACTCGGCTAAGTCCCTGCCGACCTCAAAAGAAAGCTGCCCTGAAACGTGCCCTGGCCCTGCATTTCCTTGTAGCCACCACCCTCTTCTCTCCTCTGAGAGTATAAAGAGCCACCTACATGGCCACCTCTGGTCCTGCTCCTGTCTCTTCTCTGTCCCCATCTGTCTTCCTCCCTCTCCACCCCAGTGGGGCTGCTCTCTGTAAGATCACCCAGGCCCTAAGTGACATCCAGGGGCCACCATGTGACTGCACCCTGGACTTCGTTCAACCCCCCTGAGCAGGCTGCTGCGACCCGCTCTGCCTGATTTCCTCCTGCGTCCTTGGCCCTTCCCTCTTTGTCCTCCTTTCCTTGCGCTCTTCTTCCTGGAAACCCCTGCCTGCACTGCACACAGCAGCCAGAGGGGTCTTTCTAAATAGTCCTCCTACTTAGGCCCCCAGGGGCTCCCTGTCATCAGGGTAAGTCAAGCACCTGAATGAGCCTTCTGAAGTCTTGCCCTCTCCTGGCCCTGCTTCACCCCTGCTGCACGGGCTTCCTAACCATACTGACTTTTCTCTTCCTACACAGTGACCAATTTCCTTCCAGATGTTTGAACGTGCTGTTTCTTTGCCTGGAGCAGCCTCTTTCTGCAGCACCCCCCTCCCCACCCTAGCTAATACCTACCTGCCTTTCAGTCTCATTTGGAAATAAATAGATCCTTTTCCTAATGGCCCCCACCCCCAAGTCAGAGCTAGATGACCACGGCACCCTTGCTTCTCCAGACAGAGCACTTCTGCTGATTGGCATTACTTGCTCCTCCACCAATGGACCCAGAGTCGTGCTTAGTAAAATATGTTGATAAGGAACCCAAGGCTTCCCAGAGGCCCAAGCACTTATCCTTGCTCACGGTGTGCAATAGTGTCTCTCTGATGTTGATCAGTCAGGTGTGCAAAGCCTGGATCTCCAACAAACTCAAATGTGGATACACAGCTGTTCTCCGGATGTATTCGTTCAAGAAATATTTGTTGAGCACATACTATATGCCAGACTACGTTCGAGATCAGCACCGTTCAATAGAAATAGGATGTGAGCCACATGTGTAATTTCAGATATTCCATTAGCCACATTAAAAAGTAAAAGGAAACACATGAAATTAATTTTAATAATATATTTTATTTAACCCAGCATATCCAAAATACTATTTCAACACGTCATCAATATGAAAAAAGCATTAAGGAGATATTTTATATTCTTTTTTTTTTTTTTTTTTTTTTTACTAAGTCTTTGAAATCTGTGTATATTTTATGCTTGGAGCACATCTGGATTTGGACCAGCCACATTTCTGGACTCAGTCACCATGTACGGCTAGTGACTGCTGTACTGAACAGAGCAGACCCAGATGTTGGGCTCCAGTGGGCAACAAAACCTGCCCTCATGAAGCTTACAAAGCAGGCAATAAATATAGCACATACCGCCAGATATCGCTCAGAGTAAGGGCAGACAGTGACTATCCCTGAGGAGTGACACTGGAACAGAATGTAGCAAAGAGCTAGCCATGAAGCTGGCTCTGGGAAGAGCATTCCTGGTGGAGGGGCTGGCAAGTGCAAAGGCCCTGAGGCAGGAATATGCTGGGGTGTTTGAGGCCAGCAAGGAGGCCATTGTGGCTGGAGTGGAATGAGGGATGGGAGTGTGGTCACCAACACCTCAAATGCAACCCAACTGCCTTAGTTCCCCTCTAAGTACTGGTATCTCCATCCACCCAGGCCACCTGCACCCACTACTGCCGAAGGCTGTCTTCTGCCCACCTCCCATGTCCTGTCAACCACCTAGTCCCATTTTACCACCGAAGCATTTCCTCCCTCTACCACTCTCATCCCTCCAGGCACTGACCAGGGTCAGCCTTGTCACCAGTGGCCGGAATTGCTCCCACAGCTTCTCTGCTCCCTGCAATTCCAGTCCAAATGGTTCACTCGCTGGCTTGAGATCCTTCACTCCCATTGCCTTCTCGGTCAAGTCCAGCTCCTGAACCGGCCCTAGCCTGAGCCCATCCCAGCCTCTCCAACTCATTTCTTCCAACATTCCAACCAAAATGGTTAAAGCACAGAGCTGGTGACAGTTTCTGGTCACATGAAGCTATTTATCACCTCTGTGTCCCAGCTGGCTAACTCCTTCCCTTACACCTAATTTAGCTGGGACCTGGGACACCTCTTCCAGGAAGCCTTCTGAAATTTGTCCCAGGCCTGGTTAAATGCCCTGAGCTCCCATAGACCCAAGACTTAGTCACAGCTTTTCCCAGCTTGTACCCCAGTCAGCATCCTTCAGTCAGTCTCCCTGACGGTGCAAAGCACATGTCAGCAAGGATCAGACCCCACAGCAGGGGTTCTCACCTGGGGGCAGTTTCTCCCCCCAGGGGACATTTGGCAATGTCTGCAGACATATTAGTTTGTCACAGCTGGGGGGAAGGTGCAACTAGCATCTAGGGGCAGAAGCCAAGGATGCTACTAAAACCCTACAATGCACAGGACAGCCCCTCACGACAAAAGAATCCCTGGGCCCAAAATGTCACTTGTGCCATAGCTGAACTGTGAGCCCCTGAGGACAACCTCAAGCCCCAGCATCAAAGATACAACTCCAAGCGGGCATTTTATAAATGTGGGGCCACTGCTACAGTTGTCAAAATGAAGGCAATCCTGTTGGCATTTGGTAGTCAGGGGCTAGAAATGCCAAGATGCCCTCCTACAACACGCACCACACGTGGGGGCACCTGGCTGCCTCAGTTAGAGCATGTGACTCTTGATTTGGGTTTTTTTTTTTTAATGTTCATTTATTTTTGAGAGAGAGCTTGCTCGTGTGCACAAGTGGGGGAAGGGGAGAGAGAGAGGGAGAGAGAGCATGGGGGAGGTGCAGAGAGATCGGTGCTGACAGCAGAGAACCTGAGGCAAAGCTTGAACTCACGAACTGTGAGATGATGACCTGTGCCAAAGTCGGACGCTCAACCAACGAAACCACCCAGTCACCCCTGATTTCAAGATTGTGACTTGGAGGTTGTGACTTAGAGCCCCAAGTTGGGTGTAGAGATTACTTTTTAAAAAAAGGGAGAGAGAAAAGAAATTTCACACATGACTTTAGAATGACCCACTGGATGGTCACATAGTGAAAAGCCTCTCCATAACTACCTGAGCCCAAAACCTGATTCTGTTTCACAAGTAAAACCTTAGGGTTGTGGTTGGGGATTTTGTGTGTGTGTGTGTGTGTGTGTGTGGTTTTATTATACATTGGCAGCTTTTATTTCAACATTACTCATACTCTTTAAGTTTCCTGGGCTTCTTAGGGCGCTTGGGTGGCTCAGTTAAGCATCTGACTTTGGCTCAGGTCATGATCTCACGGTTCGTGAGTTCAAGCTCTGCTTCCGGCTCTGCATTGGCACCGTGGAGCCTGCTTGGGATTCTGTCTTCCACGTTCTTTGCCCTTCCCCCGCTTGCTATCTCTGTCTCAAAATAAATAAAAACTTTACAGAAGAAAAAAAAGTAGAAGGAATCGAAGGACAATGTTCTACCTGCTATGCAGTTGTGTCCAAGTATTAACGTACTGAAATTCATAGTCCTTCCCCTTCATTTCTCCTTTACAATACAGCGTGATAGCATAGTGATTTTTGTAAATCACGTGGATAGGTATGTTATGTTAAACTTCTGTCAGATTCATGAAGAAAATGTTAGAAAATATTTGCTGGAGGAAGAGAACCTTGGCCTCCACGTGCACGGTGACGGCCCAGATGGCCAGATAAGTAGGGGGCTGCCGCCACCTGGTGGCTAAAGTAGAAATGGCAGGCAGACTCCCACGGAAGGAACTCTTTCTGCCCAGGAATCTCTTCCTGTCCAGGGGCCCTAACCCACCCCAGACACAGCTTCCACTGCCACCTCCCTGGAACCCTCAGACCTCAGTGCTCGATGCTTCTTTGGGGGCAAGATTCCAGGAAAGACCTCTGGGTGAGAGGTGGGAGCCCTGAGTACTGGTCCCCCATCAGCCGTGAATTCGCTGTGATCCTGGGCAAGGGCACTGCTCTCTCTGGGCCTTGATGTGCAGAGTGTGAAGCGTGGACAAACTTGGTCTCTGATGATCCTACAGGACTGCCACACTTGATCCTCTCAACCAGGAGCATCCATGGTCTCTTGCAACCTGTCCTCTGTGCCTCCTGCCTACAGAGTGACTTTAGGGGTAGGCAGGGGAGGGCAGGACAGTCCTTCTTGGACACACAGGGATGGATGGACTAGTTTTCTAATCTTCCATCCGAATCTATGTTCTTGTTAGCTTGCCAGGAGCTCCTGACCCAAGTGCCCATGCCAACTGCCACCTCTGAAGGTCAAGTGCAAATTAGAGCTCCTCTGCCACTTACCCTCAGACCCAACCTCTGGCTTCCAGGGGCTCAGGACTCTGCAGGCAGGAGCTGGCTTCCTCCTTCAGACTGAGATTGCCAGAGAACTGGGGCTGGCTTCCTCCCTCAAACTGGGGACTCCCTGCAGGTGGGAACCGTCTCTCCTCTGCCCTCCCCACCTTCAGACTGGAGCTCCCTGACACGGGCTGTGTGGACCCCTAGACAGAGGGCTTCCCAAGGGCAGGCCTATCTTGCTCCACCAAAGACCCCAGCACAGCAAGGCAGGCTCCGAAGGCAGCTTGCCCCCTGGTGCTCCTACCTGGCCCCCATCCCCAGTCCCTGCCCACACACCAAGAGAAGGCAGCGAGGCAGTGAGACTCTGAGGCATGTGTAGAATAAATATAACTTTATTCTTTATCCAGTAGATCTCAGTGGAAAGTCCAACAGTAACAGGTGCACCAGCGGGCTCTGGGGGGATGAGACCCCAACCCCGGGGCAAGGAGGGCAGGGCAGAGCCAGCTCCCCCAGCCGGGGGGTGCAGGGGGTGAGGGGAGGGGACCCCCTGTAGGCCCGTCCTGCGGGGCAAGGAGGGGGCACGGGTATGGGTGAGGGTGGGGCAGGCCAGGGAAACGGAGGAACTCGGGCCAA